GGCATGTATTTCTAAATGAATGCTCCCTGCAGACCAATGGGTGATTCCTCCTAGTGTTTTCTTATAGCATCTCTACACTGAGATGGTTGAGGACAGGGACAGTTAGAGAGACCAGCTGGCCTCCCTCTTTCTCACACACCCCCTTCTCTTGTTTTTCATTTCCCTTCCTCTACCTTGTTTATTTATTTTATTTTGCTCCTACCTGTCTTGATCCTACCCTCCTTTCCCCTTCCTTTTTCTCCTTCTTTGCCCCTTTTCTGGGGCTTCCCCCTCCATCTACTGTTGGGCTGTGAAATTCTCTGTGCTGGCTGCTTCCCCAGTTGCTCACCTGTGATGAATTGTTGGGGTGCCATCTGATATAGCAGTTTGATTGTTAGGTTTTTAACTTGTAATGTTGGATTTTTAAATTGTAATATGTTGGTTTTATTGTACACCTAACTGTTGGAAGTCGCCTTGAGCCCTGCTTGGTGGAGAACGGAGTGGGCTATAAATTGCATAAAATAGATAAATAAATCTAATGAAGTGGAAGAAATCCAAAATTGGTTTTGCTTTAGGGAAGAAACATATGGGCTTTACGACTTACGCTGGTGGGCACCATACTGGGGATCACTAATTTAAATCAATCTCGGCTCACTACTGACCTCTTGAAAAAGGGAGTGTGGTATACAAGACCATGCAACATGCCAAGGTTCTTGATAATGTCATTCTTCCGTAACTTTGTGAATACTACTGTAACTCTCATGACTAACAATATACCCATAAAATGATCATCATCTCTTTCAAATTCAACTTTTAAGAAACCCTGTATAGGATATGTAGTTCAAGCATGGCTTCACCTGTAGATCTTTTTGTGACACAATAACTGGGACCTTCAAAACACATCCCATAAAAATATTTTGTTGTACAAATATAAAGTGAATCACCCACATATTACTAAGAAGTACACAGCTTAAAATAAATCTTTTGAAGTTGTTAAAATAATGAAACCAGAAACAATGTCTATTCATTCTCTTTACCATATGCAGATCTAAAACATCTTGACCAATTCCTGCCATCTGTACTGGTGGCTTTAAAGAAAATATGGTCCTGGTGGTCACAGCCTCAAAATCTCATTCCCCCTTCCTTTGTTTCCATTCTAAGTATCTGTCAACAATGGTGCTTGCTTAGAATCCATCCTTCTTGGCTTATTTCTCCCATTTACAAACACTGTAAAGTGTTAATGTAATTCTTGGTAAGGTGACAATTGTGGTAACACACTTTCTTTCAAGTAAATGTTTTAAGATTATGATGTAAATTACAGAGATTTCAGAGGAATCTCCTTCCGGTGTGAATGTGCCTTACTAAAGGTTGTAGTCTTTACTCTGTTCATACAGTCACATGCAGTTCAGGTGAAGTGTTTCTGTGAAGAAATTATTTCTCTAACATAGAATTGGGGCTGCATTGCTAACTCACCCCCCCCCCCGCATGGGGGGCTTTACCAGCTATGTGATTAGCACATAAAGCTTAGCTGGAAATAGTTGAAAGAGCTGGACCTGTTGAATTCCTGTCTCCCATGCAGCTGCTAGAAGCACAAGAACCCAGGGAGACTTTATAATCCAAGGTGTGATCTCTGTTCCCAAGTGAAAGATGAGTCAATGACCTAGATCTACCCACCTCGCTTGTCCAATGGGGGCCCTGTATATAATCCCAAGGATCTATGCACTGTTATTGTTAGTGGAAATGCCAGAAGGAGGTGGGGGAATTTGCCAGCTTGATGTAGTGCCTGCTAAGTGGCATCAGAGTCCTTGGGCAAACCCAGTGCCAGACGGCATTCTCAGAAATGCCAAGCAACAGCACCTGACGTCAATAGGGTGTGATAGGCACAATGCCTGATGCCTCTGGCCCAGCCAGCTCGGCCGGCTGCTTGGTGGGCTGTTAGTTTTACCACAAGGCTGTTGTGAGTAAACAGTTCAGCCACCTGGAAGCATGGCTGCCCAGTCACCAGAAGCAAGACAGAGATCAGCCCAGTTCAAAACCATCTACACTATCGCCCCTCTCCCAAAAGGCAGGGCCCGGCCTGCACAGAGAGTGTGCCCCACTAAAACTAGGGAGACAATGGCTGTTTTCACAAAGCCTGTGTACATCGGTGTGTGTGTCTGTTGGCCGGGGGGAGTGTTTGCATTTCCCTTGCCTGTCCGTGGGATTAAAATCCCACCATAGTTAGAATGTATACTCTTTTTTAAAATCCCTGTCTTCTCCATTCTAGTTTACCCTGATAATATTAACGGGAAGGAGGCTGAGAAAAGTTCTTGTGGGAAGAGGGACAGAAGGGGGCGGTGGCAGAACAAGCAACGGCGGAGCTCTTCCCGTTTTTCTCATTATTTCTGCCCACGGACCAAATCGCCATCCAGGCCCCTCCCCGTACACACAGGGAAAGAGCAGGCCCCCGGGTAGTGGGCCACTTGGGAGGGCTCCCCAGAAGCCACGTCAGCCTGGAAGGCGACAGCCAGTCTTGTGGCGTGTTTCCCGCATTAACTGCGCCACCCGTGGCCGAAGCGTTGACGGCCTGTGTTGTGCTGAAGCTGATCAGAAGCGGCGGCGGCGGCAGCGGCGGCGGGGGGGGGTGTCTCCCTTAACACTAGATGGGGGGCGGGGGAAGCGTGAAGGCTATCGAAGGGTAAGCCTGGCTCTCATTGGCTCGGCTGCCAGATACCCCTTTCAGCCCCTTGCTCTTGGGTCCTCTCGTGAGACGACCGCTGTCCTCAGCCTCAAACCCCCACCCCACCCACAGACACCATTTATATATAGCTATTCTTGGCCGGGGAGGGGGAACCGAGCCGGTTTCTCTGCTTTGATGAGCAAACAGTGCCGATAAGAAAGGCCGAAAAACACTGTCCTGGGTGAAACTGGCACAGGCCCTGCCAGGTCTCTGGTAATGATTAAACTGTCAGCCTAGATTTCCCGGCAAGGTAAGCTGGCACGGGCCCAGATGGCACACATTATGCAAATTCCCCGGGGCGGGAGTTGAGTACCTGGGCCGCGGAATTCCCCGAGAGGTGGAGATCGTCTTACGGGAGACGCCCTATAAAGGGACAGGTATGGGGAGGGGCCGAGCCATACAGAGGAGTGGAGTCACAGGTTCGAGGGCACAGGTGAGCGAGAGGCGAGAGCTCGCTGGGACTTGGCTTGCTGAAACGACTACTGA